AAAATATTTCTGTAATTACAATATTCAACATGAAATAACGATCATTGCCCTGCAATGGAAAGAGCACAAGAAATCAGAGTAAACAGATAAGTGAACAAGTGGAGGGGGTGTAGGACTGTACGTAACTAAAAAGTTCAATGTTATTATCACTTGTGAAGTTGTGATATTACTTCAAATTTTCTTACCTTGTTGCCTTTCAAATCCACCATTAAATGATCCAAAAGTGTACTCTCTAGTTGCAAGATTCTCTAAAAATTAGCTTTCAGCCACTAACATTTATTTTCCGTCTATTATCTTCTTTCGGTCAGTATTGAAACAGCTTGTTTCGAATAGGAAAGTATACCTTCTCTAAGAGGCCATGACCAGTGTTAAAAGGAAACTCATCCCAAAGCTTCTTTAGAACCGACGGAGAAATGCTGTGAGCCCAATTACTACCCCGACTGTGGCTACTAGGAAGTTCATTTCTCAAGTCTTGTTGACTCTTCTTATCAGAGGCTTCAATAAAAAATCTGACGAGAAGATCTATGTTTTGAAGTATAAGTAGCATACAATCATATGATTGAGTGTCTACTTGGGCCGTAGTATGAAACAAGGGAATGAAGTCCTGAAAACAACCAACAAGAGCAGGTAACAGTTTCATCAATTTCTCCACGACACCAGAGCTTGAAATCCCTACACAGAAAATATATGGAGCAATAAGTACCCACGATGATCACTTAAAATCAATTCATTTGATATGAGCGGGTAAAGATTCACATACTTTAGTACAACAGTGCTTAACTTGTGGTGTGAAAACATATAGGAGGAACTCCCCTTACTTACCAGAGGAGTGACTTGACATGTCAGGAATAAAAGCATGCAACGTCACTTGAATGGGAGAATCCTGCAAATGTTCAACTTTACCATTCAAAAAAATGAAGAATAAATACCGTGTTTTGGGGAGTATAAGAAACTTTGTCTTCTTGTTTTGAGTCTTCTATACAGGAGAAGAAGTTAAGAACCTGTTTTTACTTGGCTTATTCTTTTACTTTTGTATTTCATACCCAAGTTGTCCATTTCAACACCTCATCGGCTCATTGTTCATTCTTCCACTCGATCAGTAGAAGAAAAGAACTTCTCCACTAGACCCTCATAAATAAATAACTTAATAACCCAAGCCATAAAGTTGACCAGCCTTAACATATAACAACCTATGACAAGATAGTGGCAGTAACAAGCTCGAGAGAAACTATTACTACATAATAGAACTAACAAAAGTCTCCATAGTTTCATAGATTACCACATAGCTGAGTTGTTTAATGTGTTTTGAACAAATGAAGATTGAAATAGACAGACTTCATCAAACTAATGCTTTACAACAAACAGAATCAAAATAACTAACTAGGAACAGTTAATAATGTATACATTCTTATCTGCTGAGAGACCTGCACTTCTGTTTTTGAAAGGCAGCAATGCTAAGCAGTGCGTCAACCCAGAAAGAGCAATCTTAAGCTTTCCTTTATCATGTAGGTGATATGTGTTCTTCTGCAAAATGTCTCCATAATTTTGAAGGATCTACAATTTCAATGGAAGAGGAAAATGTAAGGACCAAAACATTTAAAATCTGGAGAAGAATTTAAAGTTTACAACAATCAAGACGTAACAAAATCAGAAAGATGAAACATGTCTGGAATAACACCATCTTGTCTAGTGCTAAACCCAATAGGCAGTTGAGGTTGCCATGCACCAGACAAGAAGCACTAGACCTAGCCAATGAGGGCAAGACCGACCTTGGGCTTACCAGCCTGATACTCACCCCCTTCCTAATAATATTGATAATAATAGTTAATCATTTAGAGATCAGGCGCTGACTGACTTGACTCAGGACATGGCCCTAAGGCCTGATTTAGCGTGAGAGGATGATGCACATGTTATGTTTGAAAAACCTAATCAAGCAACATTATTGATTGAGTATAAGTTTTCAAGCCAAATTGGTTCATTGAGGTCCATGGCTCCATGCTAAGGCACAAAGGCAGTAAGGCACCTTAGCATATATTAACTAAACTTATGCATGAAGCAAGAGCAGAGAGGCATATTAGCATGATTCAATTAAACTTATACACGAAGAAGGCACTGATATATAGCCAAAATCTCAGACATAGTAACTCAAGAAGTAAGAGCTTATCCATTTATTTCAAAAAAAAAAAATCACGTACCTTTTCAGAGTAAAGGGAAAATGAAGAGGGATAACTTTGGATGACAAGGTCAAAAAATTTGAAAGCCATTAGTCTCACATCTATTGTTAGGCTTGTCATTGCGCTCAAAATGTACACCATTATCAGGGAAATAAAAGCCCCCTTTACATCCTGAAACCGAAAAAATACAACCATAGCTGCCCTTAGTTTACAAAATATACATAGTGAGATAAACTTGCGTGAAAAGAAAAGGAATGCATTCTGGTCTTCAATAAAAGCATAGCATTCACTCAAACCATAATGACCATAATATCTGGTTCATTACTTTGTAACACTGGATATCACTACCAAAACTAAACCATTGCATCCAAAAATACCTCTTTGCATCCAGGTAAGATCACCGACTTAAACAGTTGATATAGCGTTTCACGGACCAACTTATCATCATCGCTAATGCGTTCACGCAGTTTCTCTATAACAGCAAGTTTGTGAAGCTTTAATTCAATTGGGTATTTAAGAAATACATCCTTGACTCCAACCAATGCATCTGAAAAGAAAACATGCAGTTAAATTCTGCTGCGCTCATAAAAGATGTACAAAAAACAGCCTTAAATACTCATCCAATGATGATCCTTGATAGAGTATTAATTCTAGAGAGAAGTGAGAGCTAGAGAGAGAAAGTGAGTAATTATATTTCTCAACCCCCTATAACTAGCCCCAAGGGGTCTATTTATAGGTAAAAATATGAATTTGGGCTCCTAGCCATGGGCTTAGGAGGCCCATTACAATAATCATGCCCTCTTTGGGCGAAATAGGGCCACTAATGGGCCGAGTACAATACTTAGCAAATAAAGTAGAGAGATGCATTCTGCTAGGACGAGGCCTGGCCGATGCGGTACACTTATGGCCGATGCGGTCCCATGGCCCATGTCCCATGGTGTACCCAAGCCGATATGATACCTTTGCGCTAGTCGTGAGTCCAGCCCTTAGGCGAACCTGTTCAAGGTAACCCTGTGGAAGAACCCTTGGACGAAGGCCGCAATACCAGGGTCATCATCGGACGATGTGCGCGTGAGTGGACGTAGCGGTACTTGTGGTTCTTGGGGTTGCTTTTGGGGCCGTAGCGCGTTTCGTTGATGCGTTCATGCCTTTGGTAAAATTTGGCCGTAGCGGGTTTCTCCTTGTTTTTTGAGTGAGTAGGCCGGTGCTTATCCTAGCCTCAGAGCTTGTTGGGCCGTAGCGGTGGTCTCAAAGTGGAATGTGAAAAGGCAAGCGCTGATTGGCTTTGGGAGAGGTGCCGTTGAGGTGCCCAATTGGGGATTGCCACGTGTAGTGACCGTTGGAGGGGTGCCTATAAATACCCCTAACCCCCGAGGCGATACCTCATTTGCAACCTTGCTGAGCAACGAAGTGCTGTCAAACTTTCTAGAGAGAGAAACCTTCGGAGTGTTCCTTCAAGTCTTCATCAATCTTTTCCAGATCTTCAAATCTTCAAAGGTTAGATTCTTCTTTGTTCTTCGTTTTTTCCTTATACTTTGCTTCCTAGGGGGTTAGATCTAGTGTTTGTAGGGAAACCACTTTGATCCGAAAAACCGCCCTTAGGAATAGGTGTAGGTGTTATGCCGTTCTCTAACGGCCGTAGCGTTCCCTCCCCTATTGATTTGACAGCTTCTTTGGACGAGTCGGATTGGCCCTTCGACGAGGACGATACGTCCCCTGGAGTTGATCTTCGACTGATTGAAGCCTTCGAGATCGAGATGGAGAATACCGCCGACTACCGCACCTCCGTAGATGAGGAGAGAATGAGCGCCGACGCGGGAGCACATAATTCTGGTGAGGACGAGGCGACATCTAGCTCACCTCTGAGGGGGGATGAGGCATCCTCGTCTGCCCACATTCCTTGTCCTCCGCCGATATCGTCAGTAGCGGGGGAAGGCCCCTCGGCTCCTAAGACGAAAAAACCGTACCGGCGGAAGCAGCGCAAGGGAGTACCGCAGGGGTTTTCACAGTTAGATCTCAGCAACTTGTACATTATTCGGCCGGAGGGGACCCTCGGCGATTATCATGTTGCGCAGCTGTACGTTGGTCCCTACGGCCGTGTCAGGGCCCCCTTGCCGTCGGATCATGTTCTAAACCCGCCTTTGGGCTATTTTGGTGTCTACCCGATGAGTTTTGCCAAGGGTCTGAGGTTCCCTCTTCATCCCTTCATCAAGGAGTATCTTGAGATGGTGGAGCTCCCTCCGGCCCTATTGACTCCCAACAGCTTTTCGCTCATCATCGGCTTCTTAATCCGGTGCAAAGAGTTGGAGATTTCGCCGACGACTGCCCTGTTCATGAATTTGTTCCGGATAGGCCGAGGGAGCCATCAAAATTGTGCCGGCTACGCAACCCTGCAGCAGATTAGCGGGAGGAGGTCGTTTACGGATCTCCCTACGTCCATTCATGGCTGGAAGGCCAAGTTCGTGTTCGTCACCTTGGGTCAGGGTGGCTTCTTTCCTTCCAATGGTCACAGCGGCCTCTTTGAGTTGCATACCCCCCCTTGGAGTGCTGAAATAAGCAATCAGATAGAGGCCTTTATTAAGGGGGGGCCGAGGAGCATCAAGACGTACGTTACGGAGTACAGGATGGCTGCCCTCGGCTTCGTGCGATATTATTGTCCCGGTGATGTGGACGATGACCTCTGGCCAAGGATCGAGGGGTCTTATGAGCAAGCCGACGGTCCCTCACTCGGCGTCCCTGCCGAAGCCGAAGGTTGTCCTTCGTCTGCTTTTCCTTCGTAATGTGTTTAGTTATTTGCCTTACTGATGTTTGCTTTGTTCTGTGCAGGTTTTGTCATGGACCGCGTATCTTTCATGGCTCGAGCTGCCAAGAAGGCCGATGCGGAGCTCAAGGCCGCCCGGGCCGCCGAGAAAGCGAAGGCCGCTGCCGGTAGTTCCCAAGGAGGGGGTGAGGCCGTCAAGAAGGCTGCTCCCAAGAAGAAAAGAGGGGCTGATGAAGGTCAGAAGACTCTGGCCGAGGCGGGTCTGAAACCACAGGCCCCAAAGAAGACGAAGAGGGTTCCAACTGCTGATGAGGCCGGCGCTCCCTCTCTTCAGGCTGTTGTGGATGTTCAGCCGCCGGTGCTCCCTCCTGTGAATGATCTGCCCTCTTCGGCCGTGGTGGCCTCGGCTTCTCGCGCGCTCCCCTCTACGGCTGCTGCTGCCCGTCTAGAGGAGGCCCTTGCCAAGGGGACGTACGAGGTGACGGTGCGTTATCCTGTGAAGGGCGGTCTTTTTAACGAGACCGTCAGTGGCGACGATGTGCTTGCTCAGGCTATGCCTGAGTATGACCGGCAGTACCTCAGCCGGCAAGGCAAGCATGTCCATTTGTACGATGGGGGTTTGGACTATGTCGTCCAGGTAACTTCTTTTCCTTGTGATTTCTCCTTTGATTTTTTCTGTTTTTCATTTTTTGATTTTGAGTTTTCGCTTCTTCCAGGGTGCCCTTATGCTGAGGGAGCAGCATTGGAGGCAGGAAGCCGAGATAGAGCGGCTGAAGAAGATGGAGGTCAAGGCTGCTTCAGCCGATGAGGCCCTTCAAGACCTGCGGGACAAGGCCAAGGCCGCGGAGGAGGAAATGAAGCTCCTTCAGATGCGTCTTGATGAGGCCGAGGCGGCCCAGAAGAAAGCCGATGAGGCTGTTGCTGCTGCCGTCCAAAGGGCCGAGGAAGCGGAGCGGCTCAAGGCTGACGCTGAGAAGGCCGCTGAAGAGGCCGTTGCTGTTTTCAAGGCTGATGCCTGGAAGGCCGAAGACCAAGTCCCCTTCTGCTACGAAGTGGTGGCCGAGAGGCTCACTGATTGGGTGACAAAGGACCCCGCCGGCGAGGACTTCTGGATGAACGAGACGCGAGCTTTCTACAACTGCGGCCAATATAGGATGCAGAGGCTGATTTACAGGAAGCTTCGTCGTCGCTTCCGGAAGATGAGGCCGAGGGGCTTGAGTCTACCCCGGCGGATGAGAAACCCTGATGAGGACATGAAGCTCCCCCCGTCGGAGAGGCAACCTCCAATCCTTAGCTCGGACGAGGGGGAAGCGTCCTGGAGCGAAAGTGATGATTATCTGCTTGAGGGTTCAGCCGATTCCAAGGCCGATGAAGATGATGATGCTGAAACCAGTAGTGGTGGCGGGGAGGACGTCGGCCAGAGCAAAGAGCAAGCCGATGAGGCGGTGTAGTTTTGTAGGCTTTTTTATTACTTTTGTAATTTTATCATTGAAGTGCGTGTAACGGCCGAAGCGCCCACCTCTTGTATCTTGTTATCCAAAATTAATGAACTTTTTGCCTTGGAATGGGTTTATTGCTTCGTCTTTCATCGCCATAACTTTATGTGTGTTTAAGTCTCGTGATTTTTGCCAAGTGTTAGAGTTGCCTTTCGCATTATCCGGTTGCCTCATGAAGACGATGCGGGTGGCACAACGTCTTGGGTATGTAATCCTTTGTCGTAGGTACGATGCGTCTATTAACGCGCCGCTTTGGTTGGAAATTTTTCCAAGTATCACAATTCCGTTTCGGCATCCTTTTTTAATTGAGACGTAGCGACCCCCCTTCTTTGAGGACGATGCGCCTCGTTGTCCCTTGATGAATTCGGAGTCATGTTCTTGGATTTCGATTCCAGAAGTGTCGGGGACGAAGCGATACGCAGCGGTAGCGCATCGTCATTGTGGTGATGTGGCTTAGATAATTTGCTAAGTGTCAAGCTTGCCTAGCTGTAGTTGTTTCGCTTTTGTTCGTCACTTGGGTTTTGCTAATTGGAGACGGTGCGTCCCATCGTCCGAGTAATGGACTGTGGTTTTGTATAACCTAGGCCGAAGCGATTCCCTTTTGTGAAGCTATGGTTGGGGCCGAAGCGTGCACTTCGGATCCCTGTATAGTGAAAACCTGATATGTACTTAGCCAAATTTGAGGCTTGGTTTTTGTGGGGATTTTATTTTTTGCTCGAGGCCGGCGAGTGCGCGGTCCGTCGGCTTCCCTCTTTTTTTTTTTTTTTTTTTTTTTTTTTTTTTGGGTGGCCGAAGGGTTACTGTCCCTTCGGCCATGTGCGGTACTTTGCCCGCTACGCTTTTCGCGTGGATTAGTGCGAGGGAGTAAATACGCCCTCGGCTTGTCAGTGACATTTTTTGCCTTTCCACGTCTATCGGCGACGAGGGACCGGACTAGGCATCGTCTTTTGACGGCCGCCCTTTGTGGTCCTGAGTGAAATTTTACTGACGGGTGGAGTTTTTGCAACCTCAGCCTTAATTCAGGCCTGTCGTCCTGCGGTTTCCGCGCGGACGACGCGGTATGCTTCTCCGTTTTGAAGACGTCGGGCCATACACACAGGTCCTTCGTCCTGCATATCGCCGGCCGATTTGGGTGTTTCACCGCTTGTGCCGATACGATATTTAGGTGCGTTGGCTACGCAACGGCTTTGTAGGTGCGTCGTTTATTGCGACGGCTTTTGGTGCGTTGTTTATTGCAACGGCTTTGTGTGCGTCGTTTATGGCGACGGCTTTTGGTGCGTTGTTTATTGCAACGGCTTTGTGTGCGTCGTTTATTGCGACGGCTTTTGGTGCGTTGTTTATTGCAACGGCTTTAGGTGCGTCGTTTATTGCGACGGCTTTGGGTCGCATCGAACCCGGGTGTTTGCACCGCTTAGGCCGATGCGGTCCTTAGGTTTCCCTTTGTTCAAATCTTAAAAGATTGGATGAAAACATGAATTTTATTCAATAAGTGGCGCTAGGCCGAGGGTGTTTTATTCAACCACTAAGCCGAGGGGTGGGGGACGTTGCCCGCTTCACCACTTCTCGAGTCATTGGTAAAATTTCACCAGGTGGTGTACATTCCACAATCGTGGTACATCTGACCCATTAGGGTTCTTTAGTCTATAAGTGCCGGCTTTGATGACGGCGCTGATGATGTAGGGCCCTTCATATTTGACGGCGAGCTTTCCTCCTTCCGTCGGCTTGCTTGCTTCCCTTCGGCGGAGGACGTAGTCCCCTACCTGGAATTCGCGAGAGCGGACTTTGGCGTCGTAGTAGGATTTGACTTGTCGTCTGTAGTTCTCTGCCCGAAGGTAAGCCATCTCCCGCCTTTCATCAATGAGGTGCAAGTCAATCTTCATGGCTTCTTCATTGGCTTCGGGGTCGTATTGTGTGACCCGTCGGCTGGGGAGGGTGACTTCTGTGGGAGCCTTGGCTTCGAAGCCGTAGCACAAGGAGAATGGTGTCTCCCCGGTGGCCCTCCTCGGCGTAGTGCGGTAGGACCATAGGACGTTGGGGAGCTCGTCGGCCCAACTTCCGCCTTCTTCTTCGAGTTTCTTCTTCAGCCCCTCCAAGATGGTTCTGTTGGCGTTCTCAACTTGCCCGTTGGCCTGAGGGTAGGCAACGGAGGAGAAACGGTGCTTGATACCCCATTCTTGGAGGAGGCTTTGGAATGGTTCGGCCTCAAACTGGGTGCCGTTGTCTGATATGATCTCCTGAGGCACGCCGAAGCGGGTGAGGATGTTCTTGTAGACGAACTTTCGACACCGCGCTCCAGTGATGCTTGCGAGTGGTTCGGCCTCGACCCATTTGGTGAAGTAGTCGATGGCGACGATGATGTATCTGTTGTTGCCCGCAGCTCTTGGTAGGGGGCCGACGAGGTCGATGCCCCATCTGGAGAATGGAATGGCGGTGCTAACTGGGGCGTAGTTGACAGCGGGTCGGCCAGGTGCCCTTTGATAGTGTTGGCATGCGGTGCATTTGCGGGCGACCTCAGCACAATCACGTGCCATCGTCGGCCAGAAGTAGCCTTGGACGACGAGGCGGCGCGACATGCTAAAGGGCCCCTGATGCGACGAGCATACGCCGCAGTGGACTTCTTCCATGGCCACTTCGGCCTCATTCTGGTGGAGGCACCGGAGGAGGGTGCCGTTGTATGATCTCTTGTAGAGTTTATCACCCTCAATGACATAGCTCGGCGCCCTGAGCTTGGCGAGTTTGGCCCTCTCCTTGTCTTCTGGTAGCGTGCCGGAGGTGATGTAGGTTGCGATGTCAGTGATCCAGTCCTCCGGCTGGTGTTGTATGGAGAGTATGGGGCTAGCGTGAATGCTTGACATGCTCAACTCCTCTACCTTTGCTATCTTGGAGATGTGCTCGGGGGTGTCGGAGCTGAGCTTGGAGAGTATGTCGGCCTCGGCGTTCTCTGCCCTTGGGATCTGAGTGATCTCGTAGGTATCGAACGCCTTGAGCAATTCCGCAGCGGCCTCCTTGTATTGCTTCATCCTCCCTTCTTTGGCCTCGTAGGAACCCTCCATCTGGCTCACTACGAGTTTGGAGTCGCATTTGATTCTGACGTGGCGTGCTTTGAGGCCAGCGGCTAGTCTGAGACCGCTGAGGAGCGCTTCGTACTCAGCCTCATTGTTGGACACCTTGAAGTTGAAGCGGATGGCATAGTATGCTCTGAAACCTTCCGGGGAGATGAGGACGACGCCGCCCCCACAAGCTTTGGTGGCCGAGGACCCGTCTGTGTAGAGGGTCCAGGCTTCGTCCGGTTCAGCTCAGGTGGTGGTAACGGCCGTCTCCCTTGCCGTGCATTCGGTGACGAAGTCAGCTAAGGCTTGTCCTTTGATGGATGGCCTCGGCTTGATCTCTATCTGGTACTGGCTTAGGAATATTGCCCATTTGATCATCCTTGGAGAGCTGGTTGGGCTCCTCATGAGGGCGCCCAACGGCTGATGGGTGAGGACGTGGACGGGGTGAGCCTGGAAGTAGTGCCCAAGTTTTTTCACCGTGTGGACGATGGCCAGCACCGTCTTCTCAATGGGGGAGTACCTGAGCTCAGCCTCCCGCAACGTCTTGCTGACGTAAAATATTGCTTTTTGTACCCCGTCATCCTCCCTGATGAGTACGGAGCTGATGGCCGACGTGCTCACTCCTAAGTAAAGGAATAGAATCTCGCCGGGTTGGGGTTTGGATAGGACGGGTGGGGAGGCGAGATATTGTTTCAGCTCTTCAAAGGCTTGCTGGCACTCCGTCGTCCATTTGAAGCTGGTGGCCTTCCTCATCACTTGGAAAAAGGGGAGAGACTTCTCAGCGGATTTTGAGAGGAAACGGTTCAGGGCCGCGAGGCGTCCCGTCAGCCGTTGCACCTCCTTTATGTTGCGGGGCGGCTCCATATTGATGATGGCTTGTATTTTCTCCGGGTTCACCTCGATGCCCCTTCGGCTGACCAGGTACCCCAAGAATTTACCTCCCTGGACGCCGAAGGTGCACTTCTTCGGGTTGAGCCGGAGGTTGTACCTTTTCATGATCTCAAAGATGCCCCGGAGGTCGTCAGCATGGGTTGTGGATTGTTTGCTCTTGACGATCATATCGTCGACGTATGCTTCCATCGTCCGACCTAAGACTGCTCTAAAAATCCGGGCTACCATCCTTGTGTAGGTGGCGCCGGAGTTCTTGAGCCCAAAGGCCATGACGAGGTAGCAAAAGATTCCCTCCGGGGTCATAAAAGCAGTCTTCTCCGCGTCATCTTCGTGCATGGATATCTGGTGGTACCCTCTGAACGCGTCGAGGAACGACATCAACTCGCACCCCGCCGTCTCATCCACCAACTGATCAATGTTGGGGAGAGGGAATGGGTCCATCGGGCACGCCTTGTTCAGGTCAGTGTAATCAACACACATTCTGAACGTGGGCGGCTTTGGTGCGAGGACGACGTTCGCCAACCACGTGGGGTACTTCACCTCTTTTATGTGCTTAATGGAGAGCAGCATGGCCACTTCGGCCTTGACGAATTCCCTCCTGTCAGCCGAGAGGTAGCGTTTCTTTTGTTTGATGGGGGAGGAGGCCGGGTTCACCGAGAGCCGATGCGTGATCACTTTTGGGCTGATGCCCGGCATATCCTCTGGTCCCCATGCGAAGACGATGGCGTACGCTCTCAGGACAGAGAGGATGTCCCTTCGGATCTGTTGGGGGAGCTGTGTCCCGATCTTTAGCATGCGTTCCGGCCGGGAGATGTCCAACGGAACCTCTTCCACGTCTCCGACCGGTTCGGCCTTTGGTGTGTCTTCTTCGGCCGAGGCGGTGGTGATAGTGTCTATCCGCTCCTCGGCCTCATTGATCTTTCTTGTGAGCTTCAGGTAGCAAGCTCGGGCTATCTTCTGGTTTCCTCTGGCGTAGCCGACGCCGTCCTTGGTGGGGAACTTGAGGCATAGATGTTTCATGGAGATGATGGCCTCAAGGTCCTCCAAGGCCGGTCGGCCCCAGATCATGTTGTGGGCGCTGTCCAGGTTGACAACCACGAACTCCATGTCAATCTTCGCCTGATAGGTACCGTCACCGACCACAACGGGAAGCACTATCGTGCCCTCGGCGTCGATAGAGTCCCCGGTGAAGCCGGATAACGGAGTCCGTATCGGCCGGAGCTCGGTCTTCTTCAGCTTCAGCTGTCTGAATGTATCAACGTACATCACATTGACGGAGCTGCCAGTGTCGATGTAGTTGCGGTGGATGATGTTGTTGCCGATCTCGCATTTGACGACGAGGGCGTCCCTGTGGGGCAAGGGGCCCAAGGGGAGGTCCTTGTCGGTGAAAGTGATGGCTTCTATATTCCGCCGCTTCGGCTGAGGGGGGGCGTGGGTCACCTCACCAACGTATAGGGACTGCGCCCATTTTTTCCGTTGGGTAGCCGAGTCCCCCCCTGTGTTCCCGCCGACGATGATGTGGATGTGATGCTTCTTCTGGCGGGGCTCCTCTTCGTCCTCATCTTCACTGAGGGCGCCGATCTCCCTCTTTTTCCCGGAGGATCCTTCCCCCCTTTTGCCAGGGTTAACCCAAGTGTTACTCTTGGGGGCACCCTTGACAAATTGGGAAAGTTCCCCCTGTCGGACGAGGCCGTCGATGTGCCTCTTCAGGGTGGTGCAATCCTCGGTCTTGTGGGATGTCTGGCGGTGGTACCTGCAGTATGTCCCTCCTTTGTGGACCGCAAATATCTCCTCCTCCGACCTGGGGTCCTTCACGATGAGGCCCTGCGCCTCGGCGTGGTCAAGGACGATGCTCACCGGGTGGGTGAGGGGGATGCGTTGTGCCTCCAACTTTGGACGCCATGAACGATCCTCTCTTCGTTGTCCGCCTTGCTCCTGTTGTGCCTTCTTTGGCTGGTGCTGTCCCTTGTTGGCCGGCGGGTGGTGGGGGTTGGACGAGGAGTCCTTCTTTTGTTGCTTCTCCCCACCCTTCTTCTGGTTCAGGAGCTCGTCGGCATCAGCGTGCCTATCTCCGCGTCGGAGCGCCGCGAGGTATGACCGCGGCGGCTCCGTGAACAGGCTCCGGGCGAAGTGGCTAGGCCTGAGTGCTCCGCGTAGGAAGGCCAGGAGGGTGCGCTCATCGGCTCCTTCGCATTCGTCTGCCTCCCTCGTCCAGCGATCGAGGAAGGCTCGGAGCGTCTCCTCCGGCTGTTGCTTGATGGTCAGGAGATGAGCGAAATGCTTCTTCGCGCGCTTCCTCCCGGCAAAGTGGGTGAGGAAGCGTTGAGCAAGGTCCTGCCATGAGTCGATGCTCCCCTCCGGAAGGTTGTTGAACCAATCGTACGCTGGTCCTTCCAAGGTGGATAGGAACCAGCGACACATGTACTCCTCCGAAGCGTTGGTCATCATCATATTGTTCTGATAACGAGTGAAGTGCTCCTGGGGATCAGTGCGGCCGTCATATGGCTTGATCGGGTTCCCCTTATACTTCTCCGGGATGGGAGCGGAGAGGACCCTCCCAGAGAAGGGGGTTCTGGTCCGTATCTGGATGACGGGCTCATCGCGCCGGTCAGCCAATTCCCTTTCCAGAGCACTGACTTTGTTCAGGAGCGCGTCGTAGTTGGGATGCTGGGATATGTGGGCCGATGCGCGCCCTGCGGCCTCTCGGGCCTCCATATCTGCGAGGCGCTTCTCCAGGCGGGCGATGATCTCGTCCCTCGGGTCCGTGTTGGCCGCAGCGCCACCCAGCGGGGTCTGGATCCGGGCCGCGTGGGCCAGGTTGATCTGATGACGCGCATCATCATCATTCAGTTTTCCCTTTCCTTTGTCTTGTCGGGGCCGATCCGTTGTCCGGGAGACGGACCCGAAGCTTTCCTTTGGCGACCCCGGCTCGCGGCCACCCAACCGACCCGCCACCCCTCCCGTAGGTACCCGACGGCTCGCGATGTCACCCAGCCTGTTGAAGGCTGAGATTTTACCGCGAGGTTGGGCCGGTGTATCCCGGGTAGGTGAGGCAGTGTGGGAATGGGTGTCCACGGCGAGGACGTTCTCGTTGTCACCGAAGAAGATGACGCCTTGCGGACGAGGTGGCGGTGGTGGCACCGTTGCGACCTCTCCAGTTGCCGGAGTGTTGTTCTCCCCTGTCTTTGCGACGAGAGCGCTGACCACGTTGGGGTCCTGAAGGATGCTCGCAACAATGGCCGATAGTGCGGCCGGGTTGATCTGGGGAGCAGCAGGGTTAGAGGCCTGCTGGCCCGAAGCGCGATCAGCATTGCGCCTGTCCTCGAGCCCGATGCGGGCGTCTGGGGCAGTCTTGTTGAGCTGGACGCGAAGGTCAGCCGTCGCGTGCTCGATCTCCTGAGCGTTCTCATCCTGGTTGATGAAGTCATTGGGGACGTTGTCAGCAACGTTTCCCTGCCCTTCCTGGTTCAGAGGGGCGTTCCTACCGGTGTTCTTTGACCTAGTTCTTGTCATTCTATTGCGTCTAGTAGCGACGAGGGGTACTCACTTGATCTGTTCTAAGCTCTCAATGAAAGCACCAAATGATAGAGTATTAATTCTAGAGAGAAGTGAGAGCTAGAGAGAGAAAGTGAGTAATTATATTTCTCAACCCCCTATAACTAGCCCCAAGGGGTCTATTTATAGGTAAAAATATGGATTTGGGCTCCTAGCCATGGGCTTAGGAGGCCCATTACAATAATCATGCCCTCTTTGGGCGAAATAGGGCCACTAATGGGCCGAGTACAATACTTAGCAAATAAAGTAGAGAGATGCATTCTGCTAGGACGAGGCCTGGCCGATGCGGTACACTTATGGCCGATGCGGTCCCATGGCCGATGCGGTCCCATGGCCGATGCGGTCCATGGGCCGATGCGGTCCCATGGCCGATGCGGTCCCATGGCCGATGCGTGCTTCCTGAGCCGGTTTGGTTTCTGGCCGAGGCGGACCCACTGGCCGAAGGGGGCCACGTGGGTGTTGTTCTGGTCATCGTTGACTTGAGTATGTGGGCCATGGGGTCCAGGCCCATATACTCTATCAATCCTGTTGGGTTCAATGATCAACATCTCTTAAGATGAGGGATATACACAAGTAAAAAGTGCCACATTGAGAGTACCTTTACGGACTTTAGCATTATGATGACTTGTTTGTTGAAGAAGCTCCTTCAGAGTTAATCCTTTCTTACTCACAGCTAAACCTGCTTTCTCCAAAGATACACTCTGCTCGGGAAGCACAATGGCTGTTCATAGGAGTTAAGGAACATTATAACATTTTCATCAGCCCAACTCATATCCTCAAATAGCAATGTTCCACTAGTAGTTAAAGAGATTTAGAAGGGATAGAATGTTTAGGCTGAATTCCATGCTTTATTCTACAATATGTTGCGGACTTGTGGTATATATACATAGATGTAGACAGTGTATAATGTAAGCTACTAAATACAATATTAACTATACAGATTTGTAACTGAAATCCTAGAATCTGGATTCATCTTCAGTAGTAAGGTAAACTACTTATATGGATAAACTAAAAATAAAACCTACTTATATTTAATAAGAGATTTTTTTGGAAAACGAGCCACTATTGGGATAGTTCTACTCGTGAACCAAGATATGATATTTTGACAATTACAGTTCTTACAAGAGACAATTTCAGTATAACCTTGGCCTAAATGCAGACAACCGCATATATATATGTTAACACACAGCTTTGTAAGCATATATTCTACAAATAAACATGAAACAAGCTTTCTGCAATAAAAAAAAAGAATAAACATGAGAAAGAACCTTTGGATTTGATTTCTGTGTTTGTAGAGTTCTTTGGGGGAGGCAATTTTCTGCCAACTTTTCTTTTGATTTTCTGGAAAGTCAACATCAAAAGAAACAAATGCATGAGCATATGAACAATTTGAAGTATTGAGCAATCATCAATACAACATATTTTTATCTCGCGTTTCTAAATTAAGAATTAAGCAAGATAAGGAAATAGTAAATACTTTAAAATCGACACCACGCTTTTGCTGCTTCTTTGATTGAGTCTTAGACTTCACCATCGAGGTAGAGATTCTGATATCTTCGGCTTATAAAAATGTAACGACCTTAAAAAGGAAGGACCTGTGGAATTAATGAATCAGGATTCTAAAATAGATACAAAATTATACAAACTCAATAGGTTAACAAAGATAACTTGATGCAAGAAAGACTCAAGCAAGTGCAGAGTGGAATGATAACCAGAGGAGATGGGTGAATAACCGTTTAATCATACCAAGAGAGGAACCACGAGGGTAATTGTGCTTCTGATTCTGTTTAAGAACATAATAAAAAATTCAGATATCAATTTTCCTGATTGTATACTAAAAAATATACAATCAGAATCCCTTTTTGGGAGCTACAACCCAAACTTCCCCAAATTTATATCCAAATACTCAAGCAAACTGATGCAGCTTTAAATATGTTTTAAAAATCAGTTCTAAACACCACAAGATATAAAATAAAATCAAAACTGACCTAGAAAGGAAATTGCGAACAGACAGCTAGGTTATATCAATATTCAATAAAGGACTAGTTCCAGACGGAAAAAGGGATAAAAACTGCTGATGTGACGACCTTATCTGAATTTTTGCAAGGGAACGAGTTTAGGAATTTTCCATCATTTGCAATGGAGCCAAAGAATCACTGTTTTTTGTCTTGGGAATATGATGGAATAAAGCAAATTGGCTCACTAAACTGTCTGCACTTCTTTGTAATGAAGCAGCAATCAATCCATGCAATTTTTGACGCGATTTTCACTATGGGTCATCCGGAAACAGTCTCTCTGTGCTTTAGTACAAAGGTAAGACTGTGTACATCCGACCCCTCCTTACCCCACCGTAGGTGGGAGCCTTTGCGGCACTGGGGTAATGATGATGATGATGATGATGATGATGATGAACGAGTTTAGGAAATTACGAAACCCCAACCACCCAAGAAACTCTAACCACCCCATAACCCGTTAAAATTAAAATATAATAGTTATTTTATTCCTATCTAGTACTCTCTACTTGGTCAATGTGCTTTTCATAGTTTACCTGGAACAGTTCAATGCAAGTACCGGATCATATATAATTGTCATGTCTACTCCTGCGTTATTTAAACGGCACGCTTTGAGGGCATAATAAGTTGGCACACCTAATTTAGATATGGTGCATATTAGTGAAATCGATGATTTGTCATGGAACTAGTTATTCACCTATCCTGAGATCCTTATAACCTATGTTGGGGTGGGCAATTTAGTGATGACAAAATCTATTATGACCACATTACCACACATGTTATGGACACAACCGGCATCAATTGGGTTGTTTAATGAATTTATTTTGTTGAAAAGGGTTGGTTTTTAGATAATCTCATTATCATACATTTTAAACTGGGTGATAAACGTTGTGTTTAAACTCAAACTTGAAATATTAAAATATTTGGAAACTTAAAACTGAAATCAAAATCATAGCACGAAACGAGTAACCACCATAATTCAAAGTTCTGACATGATGGTCTGTGGCGGATGAGCGGATCTAGCATTTCAATCTAGGTGGGGCCAAAATTTTCATATACATAGTAAGGATGTTTTCTTTTGGACTGTTTTCAGTCGCAGACCAGACCAGACTTCCATAGTTATAAAATGCATAGAGACCAGACCAGACCAGACCAACAAATTTCAGTCCAAAAGAAAACATCCTAAATGATACTACGTATAACTACAATTGAATAAAAAAAAGTAAAATAAAAAATATATGTTTCAAATGTTTTACAAGAATAAGAGTTTTCATCCGAGGCAAATAAAAAAACACATAATAAATTCATACTTGTTCTCTATGGACTTTCATAAAATGATATCACTTGAAAATGACATCACTTGATCACTGTCAATTTTCAAGGAGATATCTTTTTTTCTCAACAGGTTTATATAGTCTTTTTGAAGTTTCTTCATCTAGATCTACGAGAGGCCAATACCATTCTTAGTGAACCATCTTCATTAGCTTCTACTTCAATAGATTTATAATATCACTTCACACCTACCTTATTTAGCTTTTATTACTCTACAACAATACACAACATCGTACAATAAGTTAGAAAATAGCAAAAAGGTCCTCACAAGTCACATGTGCATTAGAAGCAATAAGATTCATACTAACAAAAACTAATGGTATCAATGATAAAAATGATATTTGTCACAATTCATAATCATACTAATGCTAATGGTTTAATGCTAAACGTCTAAACAAACAGACTAATACTGACAATGATATTAATGCTAATGGTATTAAATTATTAATACTAAACAATGGCACTAAAATTCATACACACAAATCACGATAATATTATATATTTCCCGAAAATGTTGGAGTGTTGAAAACAACTCATAATCAAAGTACATAAAATTACAAGCCACGAAAATTGATTTGTGATAGCATACTTTCTAAGTATACAATGCTGTGAAATTTAGGCATCAAAAACCAGAACATAAATTTTGCTTATTTAACCGGAATAAATAAATAAAAATACTACTCCGTATATTTCACTAATAAAAATTTCAGAAAACTACAATTTACTAATTGAACAGAAAAAAAATGGTCAATGAGTAATTGAGTCTGATTTTTTCCGAAACACATATCATAAAAAATCATCAATTTAATAAGGATTTTTTTTTTTTTTGAATAAAATCTGAAAAATGATTTTTTTTATTTAGGCTCACCTAGCTAAGTAGTAGCTGGAAAGACAGAACTCAGAGTTTCCCGGTGTGCAGGTGCGGTAGAAGGCAGGGAAGCGTGCTGTAGCCGGCGGAGGCTCGCAGCGGTGCGGACGCTAGTAGCTGGTGCACACTCAGTGTTGAAGAAGAAAATACAGAGTACGGAGTACTATTATGCTGGTATATTTTTTCATTTGGGCCAGATGGGCTGCATTGAGCCACTTTTTAAATATGGGCTGCATATAGAACTTTCCTAGAATATGAGAGTAAACTGAGGGGTAATTGGAAGGGAAAAGGAAAAAAGCAGAGCAGCGAGAAGGGAGGCCTGAAGAAGATGACGAGTGAAATTGGAACCGATGAGAGGTGATAGTTTCTGTTCGCGTAGCCTTCCATTGTTTAAAGAAGTTTATACATAGTCTTATCTAATCGTTTGTTGATTTACCTTTAATTTTTCATCCGATTGAGAAGACTCTCCATGGCAATTGCTATCCGCCTTCTTCAGAATCTTAGTTTCAGCCTTCTTCTTCTTCTCGACGGCTTGTTATAATTCAGAATCTTACCTGCGATTTCAATGCTTTTCAGTGCTGGCTACTCAAAAGCTTAAGCCTTTCTTCCCTGCTAATAGAAAAAATTGGCTCCTACAACCCTGACAGGTGCAAGGCAAAAGGTATTGGATATGATAGGGAGATTAGTGTGACTCGTCTTCTTCTCCATCGCTTTCTTCTGTCAAACACGTCCCTCAAACTTTCGTAGAAAGGTCAATTAAGTTTTTCTACAGGAGGTTTTGTCCGGCCGTCGCGATTTGGGGCAGTTCCTGGTGGGATTTTTTGATGAAATTTTTTAAGCATCTTATTCACCAAGTCTTGTTTACTCATACCAAATTTCAGCTAAAAATTCTATCGGGAACACATTCAAATTAATTCTTGAAGATAACTGCGCATTTTTGCGTTCTCAAATTAATTTGAATGCGCTCCCGATTAAATTTTTAGCTGAAATTTAGTATGAGTAAACTAGACTTGATGAATAAGATACTCAAAAAATTTTATCAAAAAATTTCACCGAGAATCACCCCAAATCGCGACGACCGGACAGAGTCTCCTTGGACTTAATTGACTTTTTTATGAAAGTTAGATATTTAAATTATTTTTATTTTTTTTTTAATTTAATTGGTTTTCAGCCCTATTACCGGCCCAATTGTCCAAAGACCCAAAATTAACGCAGCAAAACCGCCAGTACCTCCTTCGGAGATTCGGCCCTTCTCAATTTTCACCTTCGGACCTTCCGTAGCCCCGGTATTTCTCCATACTCCAGTCCTTTTTTATTGATTAGTAAATTAGCTCATTAATAGATTTAATTCATAGTTGTTTTATAAATATTTAGTTGATTTAATGATTTGTTTGTTTGTTTAATTAAACGATTAGTTCATATTCATAAATCTGTATTGTTGATTGTTAATTTGCTATCACTTAATTGGTTCTGGCCCTTGTTGAAATTCACTTTACTTGACCAGTTCATTTTTTTTTAAGCTACGTATTATTTTGCACCAGTACTTTATAGTTGTTGACTTGGTTAATTTGAAGTGGTTAGTGATTTTTATGCTATGTAATTAAATTTCGATTTTATCTTCCTCTTCTAAGTAGTTTGGTAAATTTTTTGAATTATAATTTGGAAAAATGGACAAATTTCAACCACACAGTTTTTACTTTATTAATCCACCAACTTTGGCCAACCTTTTCGGGACGGAGGGAGTTTATTTTTGGACACCGGATATCTTTTTCATCCAATCCTGACCTATAATATGCCCATTTTACATATGGGAGAAGTTTGTTTCCTCAAATTAATGCATTGTACGTTGCAGATTAATTATTAGTACTCAAATTAGCAGCCATTTGTAGGAAGAGGCCGCCATTTAGAGTAATTAGCTCCCAAAATTAACAGCCTTTTATATAATATACCTCCACCTGCAAACTGCAAAGGCATTATTCAGTTCATCTAATTATTATTTTAATCTGATCATACTTGAAACTTCAAAGGTTACATTGTCATATGGGTATTTTTTCACTATTTAGAAAACGACTCAAATATTTGTTGATCAAATCAGTAAAAGTTAAATTGAGAAAAGTAAAAATTAGGATACATTTTCTCTGCTAAGAAATTGTGGCTTTATTAGACCGATCTGTAGGTTTATAATATCGTGCAATTCCTTGTGTGAAATATATGATCTCATTTGATCATAATATAAATAAATAAAAAATTACTCATATGTTATGTGTTCTTTAAATCGGTGTCAAAAGTACCAATAATTATATTTTCTTTATTTGATCCCTTCAGACTTCAGAGTGATTATTTCTTTGCTTGCAGTTCTTGAAGCCTAGTAGTGTTATTCACTATATTGTAGAGGATGTAATGAAATATTATAAATATACACTATTCTCCCGGACCTGTTAAGCTGTAAGGGTAAAATTCATTTGTGTGTGTATTGTAGAGCATGTAATGAAATATTATAAATATACACTATTCTCCGGGACCTGTTAAACTGATGACAAAATATTTTTTTAGTTTCCTGGTTTTCTAGAAAACTAGTAAATTAATCCGTTGTAACCCAAGTTTGATTGAAAAACACCGAGTTGATCAGGAAGCCAAAACTCTTATTCAGTATCCTACTCGCAATTCTCTCCCCACGGCTTTCCTTTTTTTCCTTCACACTTTCATTCTGCATCATTTTGAAATTCTGCATTGATAGGATTCTTGGGTGACCGTTGTCAAGGCTACTCAGCGAAGGAAAATCTGTTTTTGGTAAGTTTGAATCTTTTTCCCTCAGTTTTTTAAAATTTATTTTTCAAAGACGTATCCTTGAAATGGAAACTCAAAAAGTATCTTTAGATTCGTGGTACAGCTCAGTTTGTGGATTACACTTCAGAAATCACCACTTAGGAGATCAGTGAGAAGATGGCTGTGTAAGATATGGATTTGATTTATTATCATTATCCCCCGTGTTATTACAGTAAACATCGCTAATATATCTCCTAGAGGAGCTCTTCATATTCATGAAAGGATGGTGTATGTATTTTTGTTAATGCTTAAACAGGGTTGCTTCTGCGCCGGGAAAAGTTTTGATAACAGGAGGTTATCTAATCCTTGAGAGGCCCAATCCAGGGATTGTCCTGAGTACAAATGCTCGCTTTTATGCCATTGTGAAGCCACTTTATGAGGAGGTCAAACCCAATAGTTGGGCATGGGTGAGTCATTACAAATCTTGAATATCCACTCAGTTGTAGCGTTATTATCAATGGAAATTGCCGTATAACGTGTATACATTCCACAAATAGCATCATATTTTGACCATTCTTTCTTTAGGAGTAGTATTTGTGAAAGAATAAGGGCCAAATAGATTTTTCTACTATTTTCAATCTATCCTAAAAAAGTATCAGATCAGTACGTTTATTTATAAAAACAAGCCATTTAAATTTAGGAGTAGTATTTGTGAAAGAATAAGGGACAAATAACGACTATTATTTATCAATCAAGCCATTTTAACCTGCTATAACAGGTTTTTTTTAATGATTAATAAAAACAATCAATAAGTCTTATAAAAATTCATATAAATTTGAAAAAACTGTAATAATGACATTAAGATAATATGAATTCGAAGATAGATAAATAAGTATAAAACATTAAAATAAAAAAATAAAAAAATCATAAAAATGAAAAAAAATTGGAAGTGTAAAAAATATAAAATTAAGTAAAATTTTTTCTAAAAAAGATGTAGAATATACAAATAGTTCCAAAATAAAAAATATAGACTTCGACATTCTTAAATTGTCCACAGGTTTTATTTAAATTTCTTCAAATTTAACAAATTCTTAATAAGAAATTATATAATACGGAGTAACATGCTATTACAAGTCAAAAACTGGTTAAAAGGCCCGATTGATCGACTTTTTAAAGTAATTGTACTTATATGATACTTTTTTTGTATAAGGGCTTTAGTGATGGATTGGAAATAATAGAAGAATCTATTTGACCATTTTCTCTTTGTGAAATGACCATATAATCCTTGCAAGAATTCAGCAAGGCAATGCGCAGCCCAGTTCCGTTCATGCCAAGTGTGTCCAAACAAAAACCTTTTCCTTTTCTATATCTGTAGCATTCCTGAACCGCACACTTCCATCTTCCTTCCCCATTATCCGAAATGTAAGCTAAGGCTACCACAGCATCAAGCTCCACCTGGAAATCGGAAAAGCCAGCAGCAATCACTCAAAGAGTAGCAACAATATCAGCTTCCAGACTTGAAGAAGCCGACAACGGATCTCCATGTCATTCTAATTACTGTAACTTGTATGGTCATGGAGAGTAATTACATTATGATCATGTGTACTATGAGTTAATGTGTGGAAAATGTAGAAATACCCATCTTTCACGAAATCGTCAATATATTGTTCCTACCTAAGGCGATTGCTCTTTTATCAATGGGGTGGTGGCCTGATTGGTTTTCTTTCAAGATTATTTTGTCCTAAGCAAGAATGGGGATCTTCAATGAACAAGTTTAAGGCTTGACCCCTTTAATTGGTTTAGAATTATTTAACAGTGTATATTACTATATTCTGTAACCTGGGCGGCATGTGATTTGCAGGCATGGACAGATGTGAAATTAACTTCTCCTCAGATGTCAAGAGAAACTCTCTACAAACTGTCACTTAAACATTTCAAACTTCAGCCTTCATCTACACGGCAAGTTTGCTATTTGATCTCTCCATATTTTCATTATATATTGTTTGATCCATGAATAAGTAGAAATGTATTGGTATTGGTCACTTTCTGTTGATGGATGCACAACAGCGATTCAAGAAACCCCTTTGTGGAAAATGCAGTGGAGTATGCCATTGCAGCAGCACATGCAACCTTTGATAAATATAAAAAGGATGTTTTACATAAACTACTTTTGCAAGGTAATATCTGGCGCTTTGATTATTCACTTGATTGTCTAAAAAATTGTAGTATTGTCCTTAAATATGGTGTCTTTATTACTACCTTCGTCCTGGCATAAGCTTCTCATTGAAAAATGACACGATTATTTAGACATTACTTAAATAAAGTTATTTGAGTATATTTTGAGTAGTAGTTTTGATGGGTATATAATATAATGAGGTCATTGATGATAACTATGATGTTATAGGTGTATTATTTTTATTATCTGATTATTAAGTTGACATTTAAGTGTTAATTATTTTCTAAAATAGAAATGAGAACCTTTAACTTGGACGTCTAAAAGAAGAAGTGAGAAACTTAATGTGTGACAGAGGGAGTATATATTACTATTACTATTATTAATTATTATTTAAAGGTTTATCAAAGAAAGCAAACCAACAATTAACATTTTAAGTGGATTAGCCATGCAGGTCTTGACATTACAATCTTGGGTTGCAATGAATTTTATTCATACCGGAACCAGGTATTCGACACTCAAGCTATTGAAGTATATACAAACGATGTGTTTGCAACTTCACACTATAATGGACAAACAAAATAAATAAACTAGTCATAAAAATTTGACACCTTTAATCACTATTGAGTCAGAGCTTTGAATAATAGTAATAATAGTAATAACAATAATAGTAATAATAATAGTAATAATAGTATTTGACACCTTTAATCACTATTGAGTCAGAGCTTCGAATATTGGATGTCCAGGGGTTGTACACTATAATGGACAGTTGGATAACATAAAATAAATAATATCGTGTACATTTTTATATTAAATTCCCTTTGTCCCAAGATAGTTAGCGTTGTAGAAAAGGGCAAACATATTAGAGTAGCATACAATAAACTGCATTCAAGTTTAAGGCTTTAATGTTGAATGCTCTTCATTTACTTTCAAAGGTGTAAAAGTGTTTAACCTAGGAAGAATTAATATGAGCAAGTTCGGAAGATAAGTACAAAATATGCATTGAACATCTAATACGGGAAAACGTAACTGGCCGAACCATCTGACCTGTTGACACCACTCTGGACTGTGATGCAACCTTTCATGCCCAACGACAGTTCACGAGTGGGATTCTGTAATGAACTGTGGGGTGCCCTTAGGCCGTTAGAACTTAGACATTTACATTGGCTTTGAGGAATACTAAAGATATGTGGTTAAATAGATAATATCCACCTACTTATCACTAATTAATTTGAATAAGGGTATGCGGCATACCCTTATTCAGAACTCTGTCATTAGACGAGCTGAATCCCAAGGATGGATGACTGGATTTTGTCATACCCCTTCATATTTTGTACACTGTCAACATTATAACCTTTGAACTCTTCCATTTGCAGATTGAAGCACATGGACTTCCTCTAACACCAGAATCTCTGGCTTCTCTTCCTCCTTTCACTTCAATAACCTTTAATGCAGAAGAAGCTGGCAGTGAAAGTAAAAAACCTGAAGTTGCTAAGACTGGATTGGGATCATCAGCAGCCATGACAACTGCAGTTGCTGCTGCTTTGCTTCATTACCTTGGCGTTGTTAATCTTTCCTCCTTGACCGATGATCAATTTCAAGGAAAGAGAGATGCTGATGTTCTTGACATTGTTCATGTGATTGCTCAAGCCGCACACTGCATTGCACAGGGTAAAGTTGGTAGTGGATTTGATGTGAGTTCTGCAGTCTATGGAAGCCAACGGTATGTACGGTTTTCACCTGACGTGCTTTCTCCTGCTCAGGTATGAACCCATACATACCATCTTAAGGGTATATTTGGAACCTGGAAAGTGCTATTGAAAGGAAAATGTCCCAAGGATAATGTTTTTAAGTGTGGTTTTACCTCGGTAAATACAATGGAATATCAAATATGACTATAACTTTGTAAGATTTTTATATAGATTTAGATTTCTTATTTTTCATGTGATAGATTTGTATAATAAATAAAATGAGTTCGAACAAGGAACTAAAATAGATTTTTCACCCAACTTTTCGTTTGACAAATTACCTATATTTTTGTTTTTTTTTCCTTTCCCTACCATTTTAGGGATTCCAAACAGACACTAGAAAAGTGCTATGGAATGGAACAAAATGTTAAGGAAAGTCATTTTCTTTGGGTTAGTTTTATCTTAGAAAATCAAAGGACAATGAAGAATGGTTAATGTCTTCAAAAAGTTCACATATACTTAGATTTATTAGTCTTTATAGTATGAAATAGATACATCGAATGAGTTTGAACGTATATCAAAGCTGCACTTACTTGAGTGGACTGATGCTTTCCACCAACATTTTCATTCCTTCCAACGTTCCCTTACATCTTCCTCCACATTTTCTTTCCCTCGCACTTTCCAAGTTTCGAAGAACCATTGATGTTTTCTTGTTTAACATATAATTATTAAATGGATTAAGTTATGTTTCATGTCCTGCAATAATTAGCTTATGCTCCCCTTTTATTATTGTACGTATTTAAAGAATGCAGGTATGGCAACACCACTGACAGAAGTCATAAGTGAGGTGCTAAAAGCAAAGTGGGACCATGAGAGGACTAAATTCTCTTTGCCTCCTTTGATGACTCTTGTAAGATATATTCCATATTTGTTTTTGATGGTTTATTTATCTGCTACAAAATCTAAAATATGGATGGCATTTATCTTTGAAAAATGTGTTGTTTGCTTTTTTAGGAAAATAGAGAGACCTGTGAGATAATTATTAAAAAAGAATATCGGGTAACCAATCAACCATTAGCTAACTGTGATTCTGTAAAAAAATATTACCTACTCCCTCCATCGCAAGACTCGTGATTGAATGGGTACATATTTTTATTTTAATCTTCTTAATTAGCACAAAAGTTTTTGAAAGTATGAATTATCACTTGTAGTTGTACCCTACAATATTCTTACTGTTTTTTTTTATATCATGCCTTGATCTCATATTGCTTCTATAATTTTGAGAGTGCTAATATAACGTGAAGCTGTTACAGATGCATTTTTAGGGTTTTAATTAATTAGGAGTCCAGTTTGATGTTATCTTTATATTTTATTTATTTATTTATATTTATTTATTGTTTCCTATTAGTAATAGAAGTATTAGAAGTTACAGTTTTAGTTAGAGTAGAACTCTATCATGTAAAGGCAGACTGCCTATTTATACTCTTTATTCAGCATTAATAAAACCATCGATCATTAAGAATAATTAATCGCAGAGAGAAGTCACGGACTTCCCCCTCCCCCTGCGCTCTTCCAGCCACGGGCAAGAAGAGGCGTAACCCTAGCAGGCAGGTTACCACCTTACCCGGGTACCCTGCTACCCCAAGTCGTCCCTGGACCCGTTCTCAGTCCTAGAACCCTAACAATTTGGTATCAGAGCCGTCAAGATCCATGGCGCCACAACCGCAAGATGATTTAGCCACCATGATGAAGGAATTCATGGAGACGATGACCGCCAGGACATCCGCCATAGAAGAGCAGATTGCCGCTCTATCTCTGGCAGTCCACAAACGCGATTCGAAGTCAATAATAACGGAGGAAGATGAAGTGGATAACAGTCAGGTGAATGGTCATACGTCTTTCAAAACCATGAACCCCTGGAGACCACAATATGCGAAGATGGAATTCCCAGTATTCGATGGCAACTCTGACCCTATCAGCTGGTTGAAAAGGTGCGAAAAATTCTTCTTGAATCAAGAAACTCCTAGTGCTGCCAAGGTCAATGTTGTTGCATTCCACTTGATAGATGATGCACAACTCTAGTTTGACCAGATGGTCGAGGAAGAAGGTGAAGTCAACTGGGATAGGTTTAAAGACCTTTGCCTGGAGCGTTTTGGGCCCCCTCTGAGTTCTAACCCGGTAGGTGATCTAAAGCTTTTGATGCAAACAGGGACAGTTGATGAATATTGTGCCCAATTTCAGAAAGCCTTAGCAAGAACTTCAAAAATACAGTCCAACCTTCAGATTGCTTTGCTTGTCGCCGGTCTCCATCCACACTTACGGGCTGATGTGGAGATAGCAAAACCAGGCAACCTGGGTTACGCAATGAACCTTGCACGAACATTGGGAATAAGGCAAACACTGACGCTTGCACCAATAAAAGTCTCGGGTACTGCAATGGATATGAAACAACGCAGCCCGCCACAGCTTAAACAAGCGCTCGTGACAACAAAGGCAGGAAATCCCATTGTTAAGCGACTGACGAAGGATGAAATGGCAGAAAGACGAGCAAAAGGGCTATGTTACAATTGTGATGAACAGTGGACGATGAATCACCGATGCAAAAAACTTTTCTTGATCGAGATAGAAGATGAGGAGGAAAAAGATGGTTTCCCAGCCTTGGAATTGTCTGCCAACGCTATAAGTGGCACTAGTAGTTCAATGGCCCACACTAGATAAGGCCACATGGGAGCCGTTGAGTCTTTAGTCAGGCTTAGCCAAGATATGAGCTTGAGGACAAGCTCAGTGTCGAGGGAGGAAGTGATGTTGCAGATGCTTTTTTAGGGTTTTAATTAATTAGGAGTCCAGTTTGATGTTATCTTTATATTTTATTTATTTATTTATATTTATTTATTGTTTCCTATTAGTAATAGAAGTATTAGAAGTTACAGTTTTAGTTATAGAACTCTATCATGTAAAGGCAGACTGCCTATTTATACTCTTTATTCAGCATTAATAAAACCATCGATCATTAAGAATAATTCATCGCAGAGAGAAGTCACGGACTTCCCCCTCCCCCTGCGCTCTTCCAGCCACAGGCAAGAAGAGGCGTAACCCTAGCAGGCAGGTTACCACCTTACCCGGATACCCTGCTACCCCAAGTCGTCCCTGGACCCGTTCTCAGTCCCAGAACCCTAACAGAAGCCTAAGTTGTTTTAATGCATTCTTGTTACAAGAGCTTTATAGTAGCATTATTAAAAATCATTAGTAAAAATTTGACTCCAAAAAAACTTTTCAAACAGGACTATTTTTAGGACTGTGAGAGTACGATATTTTACTGCTGAAGACTGTTTCTTCTAATCTTCTAATAAGAGTGCTAATAAGAGTGTTGTAGTTACTAGGAGAGCCAGGATCAGGAGGATCATCCACACCATCAATGGTAGGTGCTGTAAAAAAATGGCAGAAGTCAGACCCTCAAAGTTCACAGGAAACATGGAGGAAGTTACTGGAAAAAAATTCTGCTCTTGAAAGGAACCTAAATGCCTTATCGAAGTTGTCAGAATGTGATTATACTTCGTATGAGTATATTATCAACTGCTGCAGCACGCTTCCAGCTGGAAAGGTAAGTTCTTTATAGTACTTTGAAAAAATACTAAAATTATACGTAGTATTTAATTGAGTTTGAAACCATGCTATATTTCCTCAACATTTTTTATAGAATATCTCCTGAATGCTCTTCTGTAGCGTTTTCTGTGTTCCGTACATACTGTCGGGCAATGGGTATTGACATAAGTTGACCTTTCTGGAAACTTTTTCCATCAACAGTGGAGGGAGACAGTCAGTGGGCTTCACCAAACAGAGGTCGTTAAGGAGTTGTTGGGAGCTCGGGATGCCATGCTAGGTATCAGATATGAAATGCGCAAAATGGGCGAGGCTGCCGGAATCCCAGTGAGTTCTCATCTACAAGAAAAGAGCCTTTTGTTCTATTTCTCCCATCCCTCATGCCCCTCTCCCCACACAAAAAAAAAAGAGTCAGAGATGACACATTGGACTGAACAACAAGCTTTGAAATTTAGAACTGCTACGGTGCATTTAGTTATTAATTAATTTAGGTTATGTTTGATAATTGGTAATGGTTTTGTTTTGTGTATCAAATTTCATTTTCACTTCTCAAAATAATACAAGAAAGGTGTTCACACATGTTTTTTCGTTCAGTTTCTAAAATAAAATAAATAACAGAACGTTTAAATTTATTAGAAAGATGGATTTAATTTTTTTCATTGTTTTCGGAGACATGTTTCTGATTTTGAGATTGTTTATAATCAGTTATAAAGCATATAATCTTTTAAAATAAAAATAATGATCTTACCCCCTTCATAAAAAAAGTAGAAGAAAAAGAATTATGTTTAAAAAAGTACAACTTTTTATTTTTGATCCACTCAATCAAGGTACAAACTTTTGCAAGTTATGAATAGTCACGTGAAGTGCATTTGTGAAATTGTTTGGAGAAGTTGACCAAATCCACTTGGTGCTTGGCTTTTTTTTTTTACCCCAGGGGGTGGAGGGAACCTGGGGTAAATTGGGCTGAAACTCCCTCCATAGAGTTTCAAACCCGAGACCTCCCGTGTTGGAGAGTGATGATGTTTTTACTTGGACTGTTTTCAGTCCCAGACTTAAACAAACCAGACCAGCAAATTATAGTCCAGTAAAAACATCCCGAGTCGACGACCAGCTGAGCCGGCTTTACATGAGTTTTACTTAAAAGTAGAGTTGACTGTTAAAGCCACTTATTTCTTGGACACAGAAGTTTTTGAAACATAATTCCTCTTTTGGGGATAGAGGGAGTATAAATCACATACTTATGTTCTTATTTAGTTGCGTTGATTTGACTTTTACATTTGCCGATACATGACTTTGACCATGACTTTATTTAATTATCGATTAGTAAAAATTATATTAAAAAGTGATATTTTGGTAATTCGAATGAAGACAAAGGTACCATATTATACATGAATATGACTCAATACGTTATTTTTTACATAATATACTACGTATGATTTTCAATACATCAATACATTATATGATCAATTAAGTGTTTGTGAATAGTACAAAAGTCACACGGTTGGAACTAATATAGAACAAATATAGCACATAATAGAACACAAGAAGACATGTTTTATAATTTAGAAATTTGAAAATGAAGACAAAGCAGAAGTTTATAGTACTAATACTGCTAAAGACTTGGTGGTTGCTGGTCATTTTCTACTGCATATTAACACCGGTGTGTGCAGATAGAACCAGAATCTCAAACGCGGCTTCTGGATGAGACAATGAATAGGGAGGGAGTAGTGCTGGCTGGTGTTCCAGGTGCGGGTGGCTTTGATGCCATCTTTGCAGTCACATTAGGAGGCTCTACTACTTCAAGCACAGACAATCTCATCAGAGCATGGAGTTCGCGCAATGTGCTCGCCCTTCTTGTGAGAGAAGACCCTCGTGGTGTTTCCCTGGAGAAGCATGATGACCCTCGAATCCGGGAAGTTACCTCAGGTGTTTCATCTATCAAGATTTGATTTGAATTAATAACGCATAGCAGATTATTGAGCATTTTCTGCAGTACAGTAATTTAGAGTTTTGTTGTAACTGTTTGCTATTTATTTGTACCCCTACCAAATATTAATAATAATAATAATACAGCTAAACTTAATAAATGCGTATTTACCTCTTCGTTTTAGTCCTTCAGTAATGAAATAATAATGTGATGTTTGTGTTACATCGTTGGTTGTAGTATGGGTCCTGATTTAATTGGACCCCTAATGTGCATGTAAGTATTATGAGTCCAGAATGTACATTGTTCATCATTATGATACATCCAAATATTGTATATTTTACAAAGTGTACACATAACCCCTCTACTTGTATATATATATATACATAGACAATTCGTTTGAAAAGGAACAGAATATGAGGTCAAAACCTTTCTAGTTGTCTGTATACACAGATAATGTACAATTTGTGTACTTTGTGTATACCAAGAATTACCCTACATTGAATGACTATCAAATACAAAACGAGCGTCTTTCATGAATTGAGTATCTCACTTTCTCGGTCAGGCTTTTCTCCTAAATGACTAAATAAATATCGTATTGAATAATGATTAATGAGTGAGCGAGGAAAATACATAATGACTGAATGTTTGAACATAATTTTTCATTATCAAGTCCGGTTTATAGCTTGTTTTGGCTGTACTTTAGCCTTTCTTATTATTATTATCATTTTTTTTGTTATTCTAATTAATTTATGTAATAATAAATTAATATTAACCTATAGTAGTACTAATAATAACAAAAATAATACTACGTACTTCGTAATATTTTGTTAACTCTAAATATTTTGTTACTATAATGTAAATTTTGAATATAATTATCATCACTAAAAGTAATTTGTTATTATGAGCTTATTCAATAAACTAATTCGTTTCTTTGTTCTACGGTAGTACTAATAATAACAAAAATAATACTCATTCATTTTTTAGATATGAAAGAAATAGAACAAGACTTAGTGAAGGAGCAATTCCAATAAAAGTTCTATAATTGAATTCTAATTCAAAATAAGTAAACTATATCCATATTCCATATAGACATATATAGTATTGACAGGCTAAGAGCCTGTTTGGTAACACTGGAATTGACTAAATTGGTTGATTATGTTAAAATTTATGAATCTCTGGCAAAAGCGTCTAAATTGGTTGATTCTGAAAAATATTAATTTAAAATATTTCTTATTAATAAAAAATATATAAAAAATAGCTAAAACGATCTTCTATAATAATTTCAGCCAATGCAGTCGGAACTAATTTTACTTTTTTTTATCATTACACATTTCAGTGCATGATATTAAAAATCATGTGCTTTGTGAAAAAGTTGGCTAATATATCTGATAAATCCCATAAATAGAGTCACCAAACTTAGAGGGGAAATGTAGTGTTAAGTTGTTGGGTGGCACTACTTGCACAAACCGCCTATTTCTCTGTATACACATCAGCTTCTAAAGGAGCTGCATGTGTACATACTACATAGACGATTAAGAAACTGTGTACACGAAATGTGTACGAATTTTAGAAAGTTGTTAGCAAAAGAAGAAGGCTAAAGGGTCAAATAGGTACCTGAACTAACTTAAAGTGTTCAATTAACCCCTTATATAGGAGGTTCTGCCCGGCCGTTGCCAATTGGGGCGGTTCCCGGTTGAATTTTTTGATGAATTTTTTTGAGCATCTTAATCATTAAGTGTAGTTTACCCATATCAAATTTCAGCTAAAAATTAAATCGGGAAAGCAGTCAAATGATTTTCCAAAATGTACTGCGTTGTTTAACTGCGCAGTTATCTTCAAAAAATCATTTGACTGCCTTCCCGGTTGATTTTTTAGCTGAAATTTGGTATGGATAAACTAGACTTAATGAAGAAGATGCTCAAAAAATTTCATTAAAAAATTCCACCGGTAACCGCCCCAATTAGCGACGGTCGGGCAGAACCTCCTATATAAAGGGTTAATTGAACACTTTAAGTTAGTTCATGTACCTATTTGACGAAATAATGAGGGGTATGGTACTATGGTAGGCCACAGCCTTGAAAACTGGAATTGAATATTTGTTTCAATTTCAACAGCGCATCCCAGCGGTCTCCTACCCACGAACTCCTTCCTTCGTCGTCAACATTTCCATGCACAGACAGGGCCGGGCACTCATGCGGACCCCACTTTTCTCACTGCTTAGCAATCATTTGCCCCTCCTCTTCTTCTCTCTTTCTAAAGCATCTTTAGACAGTATTCCAAAAGCCGATGATGCTCTGCTTCTGCCTCCGCTCATTTCTATCTGTATCTCTTTGCTATTCACTCTTTTGTTCCTTCCCCAACAGGGTATATTCCAAAAGACTCATTTTTTACCCACCTTTGAATCTTTCTGAGCTTTGGACCTTTAAAAAGGTTGTAATTTTTTAACGCCAATTACCCTCGCGGTGGATTCATGCTTGTTACTTTCATGGCCCCACTAATTCAGTTTTTCTTTTAATCTTTATGTTAATGTAATTGCTTAAATATACAATATATAGCACTTCTTGGACTTTCTCATTTACCAAGTTTCTGATGTGCTGCTTCTCCTCATGTTTATGTATGAGGGAGGGTTGATATTATTTATATGCTGCTGTGGTTTTGGTTTTGTTTGGCTAGGTTGACTCCAAAATTTCCAGAAATTTATTCACAATATATTGAATATAATACTCAGCCATCATCTACGAAAAACTGTGTTTTTAAGGATGTTTAATTTTTGAACAAAGCTGGCTGCTTTGACTTGGGGTTTGCATGAAGCTGGATTGAGTTGAATTCTTCTTTCAAGATTGCGACTCTTTTTGGTTCTTTGTTCAAAATTACCATCTTTGGAATTAAATTTCTGAGTAAAAGTGGGGTTTTATAGGTTGGTTTATGCAGCCTCACATTTTCTCAGTTATTTGATTGAGAAGGGGCTTCATTTATTTTTTCAGTTTCCATTTTTTGTATAAACCAAACTGGCTGTAATTAGAAGTTAAAGGATGTCCCAAAGTTCAGATTCACAGTTGCCTGTGCTACATAATCTAGAATCTTCTTCTTGCTCCCCCTCAGCTTCTCCTCCTTCGACATATGACGGAAGGAGGCAATCACGAGTATTAACTTTCAACATGGTCGATTTGTCCCATAGGAAATCACTAGATTTGGAAAGACAAGTTTTTCCCGAATGCGTAGGGGCATCAAAGGAAGAAAAGAAGATGAAAAATAGATCTAGACATTGTTATAGGTGTGGGAAAGGAAAGTGGGGGACTAAAGAGTCATGTTTGGTTTGCGATGCCAAGTATTGTTGCAATTGTGTGCTTAGAGCAATGGGATCCATGCCAGAGGGGCGAAAATGTGTGACTTGCATCGGCGAGCCGATTGAGGAATCGAACCGGACCAAACTGGGGAAACGTTCGAGGGTGTTATCTAGTTTGCTTAGTCCTTTGGAAGTTAAGCAAATAATGAGAGCTGAGAAAGAATGCTTAGCGAATCAACTTAGGCCGGGTCAGGTGATTGTGAATGGATATCCTTTGAAGACAGAAGAGATGGAAGATCTGTTTGGTTGCCCTTTACCTCCTCAGAAGTTAAGACCTGGGAAGTATTGGTATGACAAAGAATCTGGTCTTTGGGGAAAGGTAAACATCCATATAATCCCACATTTACTCTTTTTTTTACCTACGAGGAGGAGATAGTGATATTTGTTTTGTCTCCTTCGTTTATTAGGAGGGACAAAAGCCAAAGAGTATTGTGAGTTCAAATCTAAATTTTACCGGAAAGCTTAGTCCTCATGCAAGCAATGGAAACACACAGGTCTACATTAATGGCCGTGAAATAACAAAAGTTGAACGCAAAGTAATGAAGGTGATTTCTATCTCAATCTTGTTTTGTAAAAATCTTGGGCATTATGGGCTTCTAGAGTGTATAATATGGCGCCAAATGTGAGCAGAAGCCATTCGGTCTAGGGGCGCCTAGGCTAAACGATCTCATAACAATCAATATATAGATACACGCATATATCTAAGATCTTTGGTTACTCTATTTGTAAAGTTGACCTTTTAGTATGAAATTTCATGTGGAAGAACAAACCAATTTTAGATTGGTCTGCTCCAACGAACCACCATCTTGTGGCGGTACACACGTACTCATAACATATAAACTTGCTTAAATCTTAAATCTAATTCAACACAAAACTACCGTCTACATGATATAGATCATAATGATTAATGATATTAACAGTAGTATAATAAATACAAATGGGTTCTTTGAAAAGGTAATGAGTGTTCAACACTTTGAGAGATTAATTCATTTCATATGCAGATGATTTGAGAGACACTCTTTAGCACTAATTAACTTTGGACTTTTTTCCATCACGCCTCAGCTTGCAAATGTTCAATGTCCTCGTGACACTCGCTTTTGGGTATATGATGATGGCCGTTATGAGGAAGAAGGACAAAATAATATCAGAGGAAATATATGGAAAAAAGTATGGAACTACTTACTACTTACAAGTTATAGAGTTCAAATTTGGCATTAAATTTGGAGAAAAAAGCACAAATCCGGACACTTTTTGTTATTATGTAGGCATCGACACGGCTATTCTGCTCCTTGTTTTCCTTGCCTGTACCTCATGCTCAGCCACGTATCCATAGAGATTCCCCTAGCAATTACAGTATTGCCCCTAACTTTGTGGAGCGCAGAAGAGTTCAGAAGTTGCTTCTACTTGGACAGGAAGGCTCTGGAACTAGCACCATTTTCAAACAGGTTTATGTTTGATATTTATTGCCTCCATTTTTCATTGCTGTATCCTTGCTAAAAGAAATCTCAGCTTTCAAGATCATTTAGGTCTGATTGGTTGGAGAGAATTCGAAGGCTTAGTCTATATTATTTATTTCAAGTATTTATTTAATAAAAATTAAAAGATTAACCCAATATGTGATTTTATAACATTTCAATCACCTTGTTGTTTGAACAAAAAATGATTTTATTTATCAAGATATAGTGTAGGTCCTCTAAAACCCTCCATCCAAACAGACCGTAAGTAGTCTTTTAATGTTGTGTTTACAACCTCACTTTCTCTTCACTCCCATTTTACACAACTGATTTTAGGTAATTCAAGAGTGCTGTTTTTATTATTATCTAAAACAGAAACTTCTGGCACATGATTGACTCATTGCTCATGCACATTTTTTTATTATGGTATCTAATAACTTATCAGGCCAAAGTATTGTATGGGAACAAATTCACTGTAGAAGAGCTACTAGACATTAAGCTTATGATTCAATGCAACATCTACAAGTATCTAAGCATTCTACTTGATGGACGGGAGCAATTTGAGGAGGAGGCCTTGTTCGATATGAAGGCACAAGGTTCTTTCCTTGAGCTACTCTTAGACTTATTTGTAATTAAGTGGCTATTTAGTAGTGACTTGTTTTCGGTGAGATTTTTACCTAGCACTAATTTACATGAGCGTGCATGCTAAATTGTTTTGCGTGTAAGGGCCTAATGCCCCCCAATCCAATCATGAATTCTATCATGTGAAGATGACCATTTTAGTCCTGTTCATAAAATGTATTTATTTATTTATTTATTAGTTACATATATTTGTTTCATAACTCAGCAATTTGAGCAACTTCAGCAAACAGGTTCTTAACGTTGTGCAGAGGCTGACATATTTACACTGAACAAACTTTCATAATGAATTAGGGAAATCAATGTTAAGTTTATTAGTTCTGATAATGAATTACAGGGTGATCTTTATTTTTAAGGTTTCTATTTTGAATATAGGTGGTGAAGGTAATCAGTGTGTGTATTCGCTGAACCCAAGGTTGAAGCAATTTTCTGATTGGCTATTAGATATAATATCCACCGGAGATTTAGATGCATTTTTCCCAGCAGCAGCTCGAGAATATGCTCCTCTAGTTGAGGAGGTGTGGAATTATCCTGCTGTGCAGGCAACATACAAGAGAAAAGATGAACTTCTCTTCCTTCCAGATGTGGCGGGTTACTTCTTAAGCAAGGTTTGCTCTAACCTTCTTCTTTAGCAAGGTTTTGTGTTATAGAAAAATTCTTATTATTGATAAATTAGTTTAGCCAATATCATAGTTTGATTAAACCAAAACTTATGACTGTTTAAATAAAGGTTTTAAAGTACACTGATTGAAACAAGAGAATATTACCCGAAATAGGACTAAAAAAGTTTGAAAATTCCAAAATAGGATTGCCATGTTTTTATTCCCAAAATAGGACTAATTACTGCCATGTTTTGGCAATCAGACTTCAAACATGACAGTATTTTCCGAACTTGGCAGTAATTACTCCTATTTTGGGAATAAAAAACATGACAACCCTATTTTGAAATTTCCAAACTGTTTTAGTCCTATTTCGGGAATTTTCCCTTGAAACAACTACTATTTTGCATCTTTCTATAAGTTGATGTACTCGATATATTGAAAAAGAATATGTTTTTAAAAGTTCTTTTTTTGTTATCTAAAAATTGTCTTATTTCATCAAGCAAAACTAATTTTACATTTATACATGTAAATGTGTAATTTTTCTAAAAAGAGTTACAATAAAATCAAACATGATAACATTAGTTAGTTAAAACGAAAAGGTACTCTGTATTATTTTTTAGATTTCTCCCTCACAAAAACTAACATTTGGACCTTGACGGATTGACCTATTTTGTTTTTTTTTTTTTGGGACGGAGGGACTAATTTTCAAGTGCACACACATCGACAGGTAGGTGTAGAGTAAGTTCTGTGATAAGGAAAACCTTTTTTTCCTTTAATGGTTTATGTAGTCCTACCATGATAGTATGATGCTAACATCATTGGTTTAGAAGATTATAAAGATAAAATTGGCCAATTTTAAATTTTGAAATGGGCAGATTGCCAATAATAATGTGGGACTATATTTCTAAAAACGAAAGTATGGTCATAATTTCAAGAAAAATCCAATGATGGTCATATTCATTAAAATATGTTTTGTTAGTCTTAAATATGAACATAGCCATGACTTTTTCTGCTCTCTTCTATGAACGCAAAGGCAGTAGAGGTATCAAGCACCGAGTATGAACCATCAGAGCAAGACATACTTTACGCAGAAGGGTCTAACGGTTTGTCCTTCACAGAGTTCTCCATGTATGACCATAGCCCAATGTCTGGAACCTCCTATGCAGCCGAGAACAATTCAGAACGCCCTCCCCTGCCTCTCACAAGGTATCAACTAATAAGGGTCAATGGGAGGGGTATGACTGAAGGGTGCAAGTGGGTCGAGATGTTTGAAGAGGTAGATGTGGTAGTCTTCTGCATCGCCCTGAGCGATTACGATCAGACGTGTTGCACCCCACTGGACAAAAATGGCAGTGAGGTCCAACTCCGTAACAAGATGGTCCAAAGCAAAGAGCTCTTTGAAATGATGATAAAGCATCCCTCTTTCAAAGACACGCCCTTCGTCTTGGTCCTCAACAAGTATGATCTGTTTGAGGAGAAGGTTAAGAGAGTGGGTTTGGGTAGCTGCATTTGGTTCTCAGATTTCAATGCGGCGTATACTCATAACAACCAAACGTTGGCAACCCAAGCCTACTACTATGTTGCAAAGAAATTCAAAGACGTGTATTCTTCCGTCACGGGGAGGAAGCTGTTCGTGTGGCAATCTCAAGCGAGGGAGAGGGCAACTGTCGATGAGGTGTTCAAGTATATAAGGGAGGTTCTGAAGTGGGACGAGGAAAAGGAAGAGAATGTTTATGGTGGGGGAGATGAGGATTCATTCTTTAATAGCACAACAGAGTTCAGCTCAAATCATGTTCTTTCCCGGCCGGAGTGGAGCAACTAGTATGCTTTTGAATTGGGAGTTCATGCAGGTGATGCAGCAATAAGTTTTTAACTTTCGAAGTTTTTTTTCAAACCCAATATTGTATATGTTCTTAAGATATTTGTAAGTATCTAGTTACATAATTTGGTAACTATACAATAAAAAGTTGGGGAAATTCAATGTATAGTAAATAGTAATTATTACTCCCTCTTACTTAGTTCCTTTGAATGTCTCAGTTAAAACTTATCATTTCTATTTTAGAAAATAATTAGCACTTTCAAATGACATGAGTGTTATTACATGAGTGTTATCATTGATGACCTCATCATGTAATATATTCATCAAAATGACGCAGTATTTCTCAATATATAAGTCAATGAAAAGTAAAAGTCGAGACAGCGAGACTGGGTAGTACATCATAGCATATATTTTTAATATGATTATTGTTGTTTCTTAAATCAACTCAATTGAGTTTGGTTTTGATAATTCTAAGGTTAAAGGAATCCGTTTTTTAACACAATACATGTCATTTCTTTGAAAAATTGTGATCACATTAAAAGGTTGAGTAACTTGGATTAAAAAAAGCTGAATGAACAAAGCCTAAGTAGGAAGAAAAAGAAGCACACACTTATCTAGGTGTAGTTATGTAGAAAACAACAAATACAATGGGTAAAAGAGGAAATCACACTTTCAATCCCTCAAATAGTACTAGTATTGAAATGTAGTTTCCATGTTTCCAAATTTGTAAATGTGAAGCCTCTCAATTACTTCAATTGTTGTAAATGTCATCATTTGAGAGGTAGCATTTAAATGTGGGAGGACAACATTTACAAAACATGGAATGTCATTGAGGAATAGTGGTGGACTCGGGCCGGTTCGGGCCCGGCCGGGCCTCGGGCCAGGAAAGTTGGGCCCGAGCTCGAACCGCCGGTGGGCGGTTCCGGTTCCGGGCCAAACCGGGCCGGGCCGGGCCGGGCCAAACCGGTTATAATTTTTTTTTTTTTTTGGCTCTTCTATTTAATCCCCAACCCCTCCCCCTCAACCCCAAACCACCTCAAATGGCCCAAAATACCTAATCCAACCCAAAACTTAAAAAAAATTCAAAAAATAAAAATAAAAACCGGCCCGAACCGGCCGGGCCGGTTCACCAAAAACAGGGCCCGAGCCCGAACCGCCCAGCAGCCGGGCCGGGCCGAACCGAACCGGTGGACCCACCGGGCCCCAGGCCGGGCCGGGCCAGGCCAAACAGTAACCGGGCCGGGCCGGTTCCGGGCCGGGCCGCCCGGCCCGAGTCCACCACTATTGAGGAATGACATTTACCCGCTTAAAAACACAAGCTTATATATTTCAATGTGTAATATGTGTACTATTTGAAGGAACGAAAATTCGATTTCCCCTTATAAAACAATATATGTGCCTCTTAGTAAAAACTGTAAAATAAGATATATGCATATAATTTTTCATCTTTACATTTATACATCAAATCATAAATAAGTAAAAATAGATTAATAAAATGAAAATAAAAATGCAGAGGACAGTTAAACGAGAGATTCATCAAGCAAACTTAGGATAATATGTTCTGGTGCACTCAAGGATGGCAGAATCTGGCGTCGGTTAGCATGGGTTTTACATTTTGGCAGAATCTGTGCCTCTAAAATGACTTCATCCCCTTCTTTCGTAACTGGAAAATCAATCCTTCCTCCTCCGTGAATGTGCTCCTTCCTTATCTTTCCCTCCTGCGAAAAAAAATCAATTCCAGTTTGGCAATGCAAGAGATAATAATCATTCACAATATGAATTGAAGAAGCATCATTTTGCTAGGTTGGTTTATTTTCGACTTATCAGCATTATAAACCTCTTAACACCATTTTGCTGTTTTTGCATATATGTTCAATATTTTTAAAAGTCAAATTGACATGTTTTCTTGGTCCCGTGAAAAAGTTCTCGGTTTGACTTTCACACAATTTAAGAAAACAAAGTTACTGAGGGGTAAATTTTACTGTTTGGCACTGTTCCGGCACTGTTTGACACTGTTTTGCACTGATTGACATTGTTTTGATGTAGGATAATTTTCCATTTAGGAAAATGGGAAGTTTCTTTTGGGACATCCAAATAAGGAAAGTGGGAACTTGTCTCCGGGATGGGGTAGTAATTAAGAAGCAATTTTCAGGCAAAAATTAAGAGTCCGTTTGGTGACCCTGTTGATCGGTTTATCATCAACTTATTCACTACATAATTTTCGATTTAACGCCTTGAATTATGTAATAATAAGAAAAAATATGATTGAGATTACTTTTCTTGCTGTATTGGTTGAAGTTACTTATAATCATTTTAACTGTCTTTATTTTATGGCGAAATTCACAAGAATAATCCATACTTTTATGGATTCTACAATAATAATCCATACTGAGAGTGTCCATAAAAATAATCTGTACTAGCAATAGTGTCCATAAGAATAAATTGGAGTGAATTCAAACTAATGCTCCTAACCCCTACCTTCACTTTCTCATTCACCATTCTTGTCTCGGGGAAGAGAAACATGGGAGTAAGGGTTGAAAGTATTAAACGGTTATTAATTTGAATTCACCCCAATTTATTCTTGTGAACACCATTATTAGTTCGGATTATTTTTGTGGACACTCTCAGTAGGGATTATTATTGTAGAATCCCTAAAAGTAGGGATTATTCTTGTGAATTTCGCCTTATTTTATTAATAAAATATATGTTAAATATAACGTTTTTCATAAATCAACAGAATCGGCTAATTCAACAAGAATTTCTTGAATCTCAACAGAATCAGTCAATATAGCTGATTGGGTATATTATCAATTAGGCTCAAGCTTTCGATCAGTAAACTTACATACAATATTACTGGTAGTTCTGGAAAAGGGCACTGAACCGGTGCTTCATTGATGAGAGGCTCGTTTGGATGCTCAATCGGCTTAAACTCAACCGCCGCACGTTCAATGCTGTGTGTGGTGGCGGTCGCCACCACGTCAACCCCTGCCGCCACAGCAGAACCACCACATGCGGCTACCTCCGACGACCTTGGAGGCAGTTCAGTCCTTTCATCCTGCACATATACGAGACCGCCACCATAAAGCAATATATTGATTTATTGGTTATAATCAATAGTCATTTCTACCTAGGGATGGCCTCGGGCCGGTTCGGGCACGGTTCGGGCCTGGGCCCGACCGGGCCTCGAGTCTGTTTTTGTTGGGCCCGAGCCCGAACCGGTGGCCACCGGTTCCGGTCCGGACCGGGCCACCAGGTTAGTTTTTTTTTTTCCTTTCCTTTTCTCCCCCCACCCAACTCAATAAAGCCCAAAAAAATGAAAAAAAAAACAGTTTTTGACCCGGACCCAGGCCCGACCCGGCCGGGCCGGTTCGCCAAAAACTGTAACTGAGTCCGGAACCGCCCAAGCCCCCGGGCCTATGCCCGAACCAGACCCGGACCCGGAAAACCGTGTCGGGCCGGTCCCGCACAGTAGCGGGCCGGGCCGGTTTCCGAGGCTATCCCTATTTCTACTGAGCACAAAATATCGGACTATTAAATTGAATAAATAAATAACTAAAAATCAAAGAGATCTAAGATTGTGCATCTTAGATTAGAGCTATGTGATTGGATGTTCAGCAAATTAATTGTTCAAAATCTTATATGACAGTTTCTATTATGATAAAATTCCTTAAATATGGATAAAACGTGGATTTATCCGAAAATAATTTCGTGCTTTTGTACTTGTGTACATCTGATCACCTTATCCCCACCGTAGGTGAGAGACTTTGCTGCGTTGGGGTAATGATGGTGATGGATAAAACGCAGACAAGTTGCAAAACTAAGACCACTCTCGATGTCTTTTTAAAATAAAATAAGATTCATTCACTCTTAATTGAGAAAGTTTACATTTAATATTATCAAATAAGTTATACTAAGATAATTATAAACGTACAATCTTACTAGTGCATTTCAATTAACATTTAATCCTATTTAGAGGAATTACTTTTTCAATATATTTCATTCAGGTGGAATCATCATTTAAGACAAATCTATCAGATAAAATTCAATACATATTCAAAAGAAATGTGGCATTTTTATTCTTAAAATACGACCCCTTCTTTCATACAAATACTGCGTAGTATTTTTTGAACGCATTGTTTTCATGTAAGACAAGCATACTATACTCTTATAATAACTCTTTTATTATGATCAGATATAAGACCTGTTGTATGACCAAAACACAATTATGAGTAATTTCCTAAATAAGAAGAATATGTCTTTTCATTCTTTATTAACTGTAACAATTTAATTTTTACAATATTTACACAGCATATGTTGACCATATTTTATATTTTTTATTGAATCATATTTGTAATCAATATGCATAGTATAATTTGGATACAGGTATCTTTAATTTCTTCTTAGCTTTAATTACTTCCTACAAGATAACACATTTTTTCAAATAGAAGTATCCAGGTCTCTTTGTAGAATACTCCGTAACTCACTCCTATTTTGGAAAAAGTTGTTTTTGTTTATTGTTCTAGTTCTTTTTGTTTGTTCTCCTGTTCTCCAAGTTATGTTTTAAAAATAAAACATGCTTAAGCTATTAAAAAAAATCATTATATGTAAAATTAAAATATGACACCAAAACTAATATCTTAATCCTATTTTGAACATTTCGGATCAAGATATTAAATTAAAATTATAAAAAATGTTTTTCCAGATTTTTTGGTTAGTATAGAACTACAGTTATGAAAAATTGAATAGGAGATAAACGTAGAATGAAGAAAAGCTTACAATAATGGCACTTCGACTTCTTCTATGGGCAGCCTTATTACTTGAGGAAAATCTGGAAAATACGCCCACCATGTTTTCTCTCCTTCTGATCTCTATCTGTATGTATATACAGTATACTTTTTATACAGTCCGAATGTGTATTTCCTATTTATATATATACAGTCAGGTGAAGAAAAGAGAATATAGGAAATGGAAGAAGAAACGATAAGGCAGTGGTGGATCGGAGTAAATAAAGGGTGGTCCGTTCTGTTTCTAGGCCAACTCTTCCATCATCACTCTGACATTAAATTAATGATTTTTCTCCTTCTGTACATCCGCACTTGTGAGTCTTGAATTGGCATTTTTAAAAGTATGTAGTTGTTACTAGTAAATTATCTGAAATTATGTTAGTGATAAACCGTACAAATAAGACCATTGTTATGTGGTAGTTTCTATGGTACCCATAAGTATCATACTTTTGTCCACATGGACCAATGAAAAAGTAGCAGTTGAATTATTTAAATCTAAATTAAAATTTATAAAGTGATGTAGTCCAATCAAATGAATGCTAGGTACGGTACCCCTGTTTTTAGAAAGGTGCCGGAATTGTCACCTTGTTATGTTTCTAAAACATGACTCATTTACTCTTAATTGGAAAAGTTTTATACTTTGAATGGAATCAAATACTCCGTAAGTTATATTTTGGTAATAAAACATAACTAGTTATAGTTTTGCACTTTGTCTAAATTATTGTCCTATTTGAAGCACTTTATTTTATTAGATGGTTTAATTATAATGTACGATAGTATATAAACATGTACTATGTACGTTTTCAAAAAAAAATGTACGTAATACTATTTACCTTCATTACACGTATTGAACCAATATCATAACTATACATAATTGTTTCAACCGTCCAAATTTTCAACTAAAAAAACCTTCGTGGTGGCCCGAATTCCATGCATAGTCCACCGTATACAATAATGACATGAATTATGTAATGTAAAGTGGAAGGTACGTACCTTGACTTATATCAAGTGTCACAATTTTCGACCTACCACTTATGTGAAGTGTCATGAAAACTTTCAGTGACACTTATTTAATATTCGCCATTTTTCTAGTAGTGTACGCATGAAACTCGGACCGTCAAATAGTTATGGTACTGATTTATTTCATTAGTCATGGTATAATTAATGTACTAAATTGCAACATATCGACAATTAAGTAATTATTTAAACAATTATACATTTAACACTATTAGACGCCAACTAGTTTATGTTCACCCCACTAAAATATACGTACTGTATTTTGTAGACCCCTATTCAATTAAGGTTCTCAAAGATTAAATTTATACTCCACCAAATCACCAATCTTCTTCTTAAAAAATGTGTGAGTGGGTTTTTGCGGAATATATTTAGAAACAATTCCCAATAAAAAAGAAGAAAAAGATAAAGAAGCCGGCCAAAAGAAGACATGTGGCTACAAGGGACTGGGCATAGCGGTCTATGAGTGCTTATTAAATACCCACTTCTTAAATAGTTTTTCTTTTAGAAAAGAGGCTTTATTAGTCACTATTCAATAGATAAATAGTTGTGACCACATCTGTTCCGAAAAATAGTTCGAAAACTTGATTGATTTAAAACTTTTATTGACAAAGAATGGTTGAATTGAAAAGCATAAAATATGTAGTGAAGATCTTTGAATTGAAGATTAAGTACAAATATCAAAGCTATTATTTCAGTGGTAGAGATAAAAAGATGTTGTTAACCTATGTATAACAATATAACATGTTGATCTGATGTACGTAGTACAGTATAACAAAATTAATACAATTTGATTTCTAAAAAAACTCAAATTAGTAGAACCTTGATACTCTCTCCTTCCCCATAGGCCCATAAGACTAGTGCAAGGAAAAAGTAGAAACTACCAGCTCAAGCAAGATTATTGCATGTCTTCTCACCCGACGTACGGTTTTTTGAGTAATGTGGTTGAGAGTCTCTGTACAAATTAAGAAATCACCATATTAGATTCAACCTCAATCTCAATCCAACAGTCTCACTCATCAACCGTTGAGCTATTCAAGCATGTTACAAATATAACATTATGTAGCTAGAGTTTTTGCTTCTTAAATGTTGAAAGTCATATTAAGAATTATATAAAATTGTACTCCCTCCGTAACATTCATATCTTCCCACTTTCCTTTTTTGGATGTAACATTCATATCTTCTCATTTCTAAATCTTCCCATCATACCCTCAATAATTTTAAAAATAATACACTATTACACCTACTTTTTTGGATTTATCCTTCATTCCATCACATTATTTCACTATCTTCCCATCATACCCTCAATAATTTATATCTCCTTTCACTATTCTTAATCTACCTACTTTTCAAATGGGAACATATATATGTTACGGAGGGAGTAGAAATTAATTTCGAAAACAGAATTAAGGGTGGTGAACGTTTGTGTATCATATAAGTATAGTTTTCGTAAGAGTGCTACTTCCCCGATCTATAATAGTTGCAACATTGATATTTTTACCCTTTTATCCACATTTTACTTTGGTCATGATTTTCTAGTAGTATATACAATCAAATTATTATGCATATAATATTATTAAATTTCTATTAATGTGAGTTTCCCAAATTTTATCAAATTTCTACTAATTTATACATAATTAAATATATTAAAGCTAAATTTGTGTGTTCGCAAACGTGAAAGTCAAATTGCAATTAAAAAGAAACGCATGTAGTATAATAAAAATCAAGTTTTATGTAGTGGGGCCTTGCGCCCCTAAATCTATCCTAGATCTTTGGTGTGTCTCCTTTTGATTCGACATACAATCAGAACAAGAGACAAATTTTTTTAACTTCGAACAGTTGTGGAATATTTTAGAATGAAATAAACGGACATGAACTTTTGCCAACTCCAATTGTAACATTCACGTTACTAACAAAGTAAAAATAAAAGGTAGGTAAGTGAGAATGGTTCAAGTAGATTATCTTGCACATTTAAGATCCTGTATTTATGAGTTGTCTTCACTTCAAGCCATTCTTCAATTTGGGAAGTTCTTTGTCAAAAGATTATCCTCCAGCCCCGGGCTTAGCTCGGTTGATCGTGTAATCAGTGTTTCGTCTCGTGTCAAGCGGTATTTTGAGAGTTAGCTTTTAATTCTTGTTATGAACCTAGTTGTTTTTTTATCATGGTTCTCCCAGAGCTATGCTAAGAATCTAATAACGCACCCAATTCATTAGTTAAGACTTAAGAACGACTTTTGTGCGCCATAGTGATAACGGTGAAAATCCAACAGATTATTCGAGCAACTCGGATTTAATTAATTTTTTCAAGAGTTTAACGTGGATTTTTAAGGGGTTTAGAATGGAATATTGAGAACTCAGAAATTAATCGGACAAAATCGGAGTAATCAGGCGTGAATAAAAAAGCAACAAATTAAGAAGACGTGTGGTACACTTCTACCATTTGAATTATAAGTGCGTTTCACGATACCATTTGGATGTTTAGTTTTGGACGGTTTTCAGTCCCATATCAGACCAGACCAGATCAGACCAGACTTTCGTAGTTATAAAATACACAAAGACCAAACGTTTACCAGATCAGACCAGCAAATTTCAGTCCAAAAGAAAACATTCATGTCTCAATTAAACTCTTTGTATTAAAGTAATAATCAATTTATGGTATATAAAAAAAAGTAATCAATTTAAACACTAATTATTTTAGAAGTCGGGTGCAAACTGACATAAAAATGGGGATCAAAGTCAATAAATCTCATACGGAGTATATTCTTTTACCTATAATCTAAACATTTTGGGTAAAACAGATCACGTGTTATTAGCTCATAAAGTCGCAATTATGTGAATGCATGTTAGGTAGCCAACGCTAGTAAAATTGTGGGAGAAATGCTAGAGGTACACACTTTGTGTACACATTTTGTGTACACTCGTCTGTCTCTTAAATAAATTTTGTCTGTCACAGACAACTCATATATGAATTGTCTCTGACAGACAAAATTTTCTTAAGAGACAGACGAGTGTATACAAAGTGTGTACACAAAGTGTGTACCTCTAGCATTTTTGAAATTGTGATCAAGGACTACTTGAAGACATACGGAGTATATGATACCATGTACATGTACTTCTTTTACGCAGCAACAAAAAAGTAATTCTAGATCTTTTTAAAATTTAAATACCAAAACAGAAAACCATGAATTTCATACTAATTCTCCAGAATACATACTTTTATACGTAGTAGAATATAAAAGGGAAAAATAATTTAAATATTTCCAACTTTGAAAGAGTGTGAGGTAAATACCCCAAAATTGTATATGTCATATTTATACGCTGAACTTTATGTAAAAAGTTATCCTAACACCATGATCATAAATGATACTCCGTAAATGTATTTAAATTACTACGCATTTATTTAACATCATAAATTTACATTTGTGAAAACAAATCATATGATCGTGGTGCTAACTTAACTTTTTATATACGCTTTGGGCTATTTATATGCTATTTATATTACGTGGGCTATTTGACATCACACCTTTTGAAAGTTTGGGATATTTGAATTATTTTTCTCAATATAAAACTATGGTCACTTACGCCATACATGTATACGTCAATTCAAAATAGGTTGGCATCAAATTGCTGTTTTTAGGATTAAGAAAAGAAATACTCCGTATAACAACTTCAGGGTATTATAAAATGACAATAATTGATTTCACAATTGATCTTTCATACATTTACATATAGTTGACAAGGACATAACATTATCATTTTAAAACATTGTACATTATTTTTCTCTAATAGCCGTAAGACACAATGACACGAACATGGGAGTGTTTGGACTTTGGATCCAGTTCTTAAAATTGTTTATACTTCTTTAAAGAGCAGAAGCAGATAAAACATGTTTACTAACAGAGATGTTTTCTAGAAAACTATAAAACTGAAAAAAGAAAATAGAAAAAGTGTTTACCGAAAATCTTTTCTGGAAAAAAGGAGAAAGGAAAATAGAAAATGCATTTACCAAATCATTTTCCAAAACAAAAAATGAGATATATCTCTGATTTTCTTAATGAATTGAAGAAGTGAGTTTTACTAGTTTTTCAAATTTGGAATATTTGGATGTTAGAGTGTTGTTGCAATGAAATTGCATACTTACGGTCCGGGTCCGGTCTCTTTTCCGATCCGGTCAAGTCAACGATGTTGCGGTCCCTGTCCGGTCTAGTTAACGACTCAACGGTCCAGTCCGGTCAGCAACCCGACAGTCCCTGTCTGGTCCGGTCAACGACCCCGGCGGTCCTTGTCTGGTCCAATCAGCGATCCGATAGTACATGTTTGATCCAATCGATGGCCGAGGAGTCCCGATCTG